TTTGGTTGATTTGAAAGAAAAATACTGTGCAGCAGATTCGATCAGGATTAGCAGAAACACAACACAGATTTTTTTAAAAAGAAGAAAGATATAAAAGTGGCTGAAGTATTTTAAGGTGCTATTTCTTCCTTTCCTTTTTGTTTGTATGTATACTTATCTCCACAGTTCATAGCATTTCTCTCTTTAGGTTGAGCTTTGAGATTTCATCTATAAAACTTGGAAACTGTATTACAGAGTGTATGTGGTCTACAGAGTACAACAGAGTACATGTGGTCTATCACCTGGTCTATGTTCAGGTGAATAATTAGTCAGACCATATGATCATGCTTTTACTCCTTTCAAAAAAATTACTGCCATTATAGGGAGAGCCAGCGTGGCATAGTGATTTGAGCATTGGACTGTGTTTAAATCTCCACTTGGCCATGAAAACCCACTGGATGACCTTGACCAAGTCACACTCTCTCAGCTTCAGAGGATGGCAAGGGCAACCTCCTTCCGAAGAAATCTTTCCAAGAAAACCCTGTCGTAGGGTCACAGTAGGGTAGGCATAAGTCAGAAATGACTTGAAGGCACAAAACACAATACACCATTATCGTTACTGTGATACAAGCCTTTCTCTTATGCAAGTAGATAAACAAGCTTTCTTACTTAACATTGCAAAAAGTGCCAAATAATTTCAATTTGTATCTTCACTCCAAATGTGGTGTTGTTATACCACATTTGGAGGGACAGCTGAATTAGCATGTATTCACAATCTCCAATCCATCGACAGAGGGTTGAACAAAGATAATGGCTTCCTGGTACACTGCACATATTAAAACACCGGACACTCTTAGCCAGTTAATATATATCGTTTCTGATTTCCAGTCTGCATACACCATATTCCAAAACTCCTTCCATCCAGGCCTTAGCCAACATCTTTAATTGTGCCTTTGTCCCTCAATGACCATAGTTAAAACTGAACTTGTCACTTATCATCATAGCCACAAATTTTGCATTTCCATGGGTATCTATACAGTCTATAACAGTCTTTCTTGGGCACCAGTTCACTCCATGCATGCAAGTAAATAAACTCAGGCCTGAAACAGATGTGCCAAAAGAAGCGGCTTCTGGCCACTTCGAGGGTGTGGCAGATGATGCATGCCCCCAAAATGGCCAGAAGCAGCTCCGAAGCTGTGCAGAAGTGGCAGGAGTCAGATTTTTCAGGAGTGGATTTAATTTGGGATTGGGCCATACAGTCGCCATGGTCCCAGCCCAATCGGGGTTGGAGCGGTTTCTGGATGTCTATATCCTTCCTAAAATGAGGTGAAGACTTTCGGATATAAAAGAGGAATCAGAGATGTGCTGTGGTAATTTGCTTGTTTTTCAGAGAGAGTGGGATTGTACAGGTGCACACTTTAATCCTTCTTTTACAGAGAACCACTTGTGAGATGTTTTTATTTATTTGATTTATACCCTACTGTAGCTTGTTCATCCAAAGATGTTTGCCAGTTTTAGTTATTCCTGGGGAACTGGCAGTACCCAGGATTTATCAATGCTTTATTCTAAACATTAGTGTTGTTGTTTTTTAAAAATACTTTAGCTTCCTGAATTCCAGATTCTGAGAGAAAAAACACATAGAAAAGGATGATCCTTATCTTAATACATATATTTCAGACTTTAAATTTACAATACATACTTCGCAGGTTGTGGCTCTTCAGATGTTGGCTAAGGCCTGGATGGAAGGAGTTTTGGAATATGGTGTATGCAGACTGGAAATCAGAAACGATATATATTAACTGCAAATCCCCTTACCCCTCACTATTGCCTTTCATGACAAAGGCTGATAGGAGTTGTAGTCCAATAATATTTAAAGGGCTGCAAGTTGTCCACTCCTGATGTAAAGGGATAAAACTTTTCACAGGCTTCCTTTTAATACTCTGTATCAACTCTGAGATGGGCAAAATGGCTTTGAAAACAGCAGTAAAAAATACATTCTGTGAGTAGACACAGAGAAGTTAAAAACTCCAGAGGTCTAATTCAGCTAGTGTTAGGAATAAGAACAAAGAGATGCAGAGAAACGGAAATTGCATTGTTATAAACACATTGTTAAAAATGTGATTAGCACTGTCTTGAAGAGTATCAAATCATATCAGACCAACTTATATGTTGTACCTTTATAGGCTGAAGGGGGCAGACACATCATTCTGTGCCATGAAAGACAAAGAGCACTGGAAATTCTTTGTGATTCTTGCAGATTCAGTAATGGGTGATGCGGGGGATAGGGGAGATCTAGCCAGTCAGATATGGAGAAAGCTTTCCTTAGCACACCCAAGATTCCCCTTTTGATTATTGCATGGGAGTTCAGGAGTCATCCCTCGTAGACTTCAAGGAGATGGCATCTTCGAGATCACAGTATTGAACACTTTGGCCAAGAACCACATGATGTCAGAATACATGGTCACTATATGTTCATACCCATTGCCTTCAATCAATCCATGCAGGATCATTGAAGGACAATTCTGGTTCCTCATTCCTCATTTTGCAGTGTTGTAGTGGAGCCAGGATTTTCAGGGTTGAATATCCTGCTATTTGATTAGCAAGGATAATGATGTCATCTGCTACTTCTAAGGCTTCCCTGTTGCCTCTGTACTTATATGCAATCCTTATAGTAAATGAAGGGAAAATGAACTTTCTTGGCAATGATGTACATACTTTTGTGAGCTGTCAAAACTATAGCAATGTGAAAAATTAGTGGAGTGTGTGGCTTGGTTTTGCATGGCACTGAAAGTGAAGTCAGAAATGGAATCTTTATGATTAGATATAGGAGGTATTCTCTTCATGCTAGCCTCAAAGAATGGGACTTGGGGATAGTGAGGAATCTGGTGGACAGGTTTTGTCCTGTGATCTCCCTTGTCCAAAAGGTGAACATCTGCAGACAGGATTAGACTCACAGACCAAAGACCAAAAATCTGTGACCTGCTTAAAAATGAACACTCTATGGAATTCATGGTGTCACATAAGTTGGCAGGCAGCTGGAAGACACATACACATACAGTATTTTTTTCCTTTCCCCCTAAGATTTCTCCAGCTTGGTTCATTTTTATCTATAAACAGGAGCATGAAATAAGGATGAATGGGATCATTTCATTAATAACTATTAAACCTGCCTTAAAAATACTTCATGTAGCAGAATAAAATACATGCCTACTTGATCATTAAGATTCCCATGCTGCTGCCATTCTTTGTTGGGAGCAACAAATAATGTGGTGATACAGGAGAGTGTCTTCTTGCTATTGCCACGTTTGTGGAAAGATTGGTGCTGGCATTGGCCTCATTTCAATGCCACATTGTAGCTTACTGATGATATCTTGGTTTAGATCTGTTGAGTTACAGCCTTTATTTTGCTGTTGCTGAATTATTTGAAATTGGGTTATTGATTTACAGTTGGGTTAGGGAGTAGAAAGCTGCCATTGAAGAGTTAGTGTTAATCTTTTTTGGAAAATTCTGTTCGGAATCTTTAGAACATTGTTTTGTTTCCTGGAGAGGATGTGAAAGACCTAACCAATCTCTAATCTGTAAGCCAACTGTAGGAATAAAAGCTTGCTAGAATGTTTAGAGGAGTACTGGTTACTGGGGCTGAAATTATAGAATTATTAGTCAGTTAAGTGGATCTTTATTTATGGAAGACTCAGCAATTGGCAGCCAGTTTTTCAAGAACCAGTAAGAAAAGATGGGCAAATTATTTGCAGAGAGAAGATGTCAGAGCAGGGCATCTTAAATAAAATTATCCAAATTGTCTCTTTGCTGGTGGAAGAGCTGCTTTTGACTTGCAGTAATTTTAATACTCAGAATTGCACCTGAGGACTGTACTTCAACAAACGTTCCAGGCTGACTGTCCTTACTCAGAAGGCAACAGCATTTTTAATCAGCTGAGATACCACTTGATAGTGGTAACTGCATGGCCTGCTCCTGAAGCAGGCCACTGCCATGATCCCAAGCCATCAGCCATCAGGGGCAAATTAAATCCACCTCTGAAAGGGCCAGCTCTTGCTGGGTTGGCATGGCCTTGTTTGCTTTCGGGGTATGCGTCATCTAAATGCCATGCCCCCAAAGCATCCAGAAGCTGCTTTATTTGGCCCATGTGTTTCAGGCCTAAGAAATATAGTGTGTATCTTTGGCATCTGAATGAAGAGAAAAGAATAAGGCACTTTTGGAAAGGAAGGAAAGTTTGAGGAAGAATTAAAAAAGAGTTTTGTCAGGAAGAAAAACAATAGTTGAAGCTATATGTACAAAGTTGTGTGTATGTGAGTGAGTGTGTTTAATTCTAACACAGGCTCCCTGTTTCAAAGACTTGATTAATAACAAGGCTTGAGCATAACTTAAAACTATTTATCATGTTAATTTACTATAGGGGTTTAATTGTATTATATAAGCACACCATGATCATATATGTTTAAGGTCAACGCTCAACCAACAAATAATTAAAAGTGACAGAGGCAATTTCCTTATTTCAAGAGACCTCCACCTCCATGGAGACTTGAAAATGTTTCAAAAACTATCTGCTTATTCTTAGCCTGGTTGAAGATTTGTTTTAATAGAGCTTGTCAGATTTTAGATTAGTGAACTGAACAATTTTTTTACATTACAGTTATAATATACATGCCCTTGTAAGCATCCGGGACATACCATATTTTCCGGCGTATAAGACGACTGGGCGTATAAGACGACCCCCCACTTTTCCAGTTAAAATATAGAGTTTGGGAAGAGTATGACTTCCAAAACTGTTGTTGTTGTTGCTGTGCACCTTCAAGTCATTTCCAACTGATGATGACACTAAGGCAAACCTATCATGGACTTCCTTATACCCAGTGTATAAGACGACCCCCCCCACTTTAACCCCAGATTTTGCAGGTTTAAAAGTAGTCTTATACGCCAGAAAATAAGGTGTACTTGGGGTTGGGTGAGGTTGATTGATATAATCCTATGACACACTTTCCAGAAATATTTATATTGTATCTGACAGCATGGTGTAGTGGTTTGAGCATTGGACTATGATTCTGGAGGCCAGGATTTGATTCCCTGTTCAGCCACAGAGAACTACTGGGTGACCTTGGGGGAGTTAAACACTGTCAGCCCCAGAAAACTCTATGGTAAGTTCACCTTAGGGTAGCCATAGGGTCAGAAATGACTTGAAGGTACACAACAACAATCTTTTATTTCCTGCATTAAATCTTACATACTTTATGTTACATAATAACTTGAATTTTGCCAATACTTTAATGTTTTAAATATGACGATATAGAGAGATTTTGTAGCACCTTTGAGACTTACTGTAAAAAAGAAGTTTGTAGCATTAGGGCCTTTACAGACTGTCAGAAATAATCCAGATTGAGGCCACTTTAACTGCCCTGGCTCAGTGCTAGGGAATCATGGGAACTGTAGTTTCTTGTAGCACCAGAGCTCTCTGACAGAGAAGGCTCAAGGTCTCAGAAAAAAACTACAATTCCCATGATTCCCTAGCATTGAACCAGGACAGTCAAAGTGGTCTCAAGCTGAATTATTTCTGGCAGTCTGAAAAGGCCCTTTAGTCTACTTATTTGGATGCTTATGGTGGAGTGGAAGCCAGGGACAGGTCATGGATTTGTGTATACTAAGAAACTTCAGGTTAGCTATTACAGTCTTAGTTGAGCAGCTATTCTAGTTGTATAGTATAATAACTAATATAGCTATGCAGATAAGATTTTTGTTGATTATATAGGCTATTAACTGGTTGGATTCATGTTTTGTTTGCTTGTTGGAACATTTACATGATATTATTTATGTGGACAAAAGCATGTATTGTGTAAATTGATTTATACTTTACTGCCTCTTTTTGTTTCACTTGTTAATCAAGATGAAGGGAACTTTGTGGTGACTGGCACTACCATTGTGGAGTTAAGATGCTAGTGTGAAGGTGTCCTCAGTCATTATGAAAATAAGAAAACAGAACATAATCCATCAAAATAACATGAGTCAATGCAAATGCATGGCTTAGACTGCAAGCCTGTACACACTTACATGGGAATAAAATTCATGGAGCTTAATAGGATTTATATCTGAAGAACAGATATGCATAGGATTACATTTTTACAATAGTTCTCAGGGATAGTATTTTATAGATTTATTATATATATGCTAACTAGTTAACCACCATTTGGCAATGTTGGCACTGTGATTATTATAAGACTTGTATTACAGAAAAGCAAGCAAGGAAGAAAATTGTGTTCTCTTCCATTAGAAAAGGGCATCTTAAGTGAGAATCAGCTCAGTAATTATACCTGAAATTATCTTGATTCTTTCTTGATTACTAAAGATTTCTTACATCACCAATTACTTACAGAGAAAAGTAATATCTTGCTTTCTTCTGAAAATGAATTTCCATGTCCTTGTAATACTATAGTACAGGCTTTGGCTTTTGGGTATAATCTTAGGTTAGAATTGCTCCACAGGGAAATGAAGAATATGCATTCCAGTCATGCTCACAGTCAAGAACTCCAATGAGTTTAAAATAACTAATTACAAAGTCTCATCTTACCTGTATTTTCACAGAAGAAAGACTACTTGATTTAAGTATGATTTAGTTCCATGTAAACAAGCATTTGTCATTTCATGTTTACTCACTGGTACTTACTCATAAGTAAGAGCCAAACTGGATACAACATTAAATGGCTTTGCTTTTTATGTGCCAGATTTTTTAAATACACAGAGGGAACTGATAATTATCAGGGTTTCCCCCCCCCCCCAGTTGGAGTTAGTTCACTACAGTGATGTGCTAGGGAATGGTGCTGAGGAAAGGATACAGGCAGAATCATGCCCACCTAACCACCCACATCTCAAACTAGTCCCTGTCTCTCAAATTCTGAAATATACTGTTGGTTTTGTTTCTTAAAATTATGTTTATTGAATTTTTTCTTTTGCCTTCAAATGGTCAGTAGTACATTTGCACACACACATCTCAAAGGGGTGCTATTGACCATTTTGCTACTGACCAATGACCCCTCCTTCCTGCTCCATACTGAGCATTCCCAGTGAATTGATCTTGACAGTTCAAAGTGCATTCTTCCTTCCCACACATCTGCACAATAGCCAGCTCCATGAAAGATCAACATTCCTTCCACCCAGGATCACCACTTGTGTAGCATAACAAAGCATACTCAGAATATATAGACAGCAAACATAGCAGGATCTATAATCTTGACAAGTACATTTAAAGAAAGGAGTACTGAGGTAGATAGATGTGTAGTGTAACTTTCATAAGGCAACTCACTATATTCTGTTTTAATACCTATCCTTGAAGTGACTGGATCATGCGCAGTTTTGGTACATGTATTGTGGTAGACTTTTGATTAAGAGTGCTGTGTTGAAGACTAGATATAAGAGGTTGATGCACATATGTTACACTTAGACAAAGTACTGTATGCTCTGCCAATTACATTGGAGGAGAAGTTAGCAGCATGAGATGGCACAAAGTGACAGAGAGGAAAAGAAAAAGAAGAATATGATGGAGGATGTGTTGTCATCGAGTTTTGAGCTGTCTATTTCTTGAATAGACACGGGGGTGCCACTATATCTGATAGTCCTGATGAGGAATCTTACCAAGGAAAAGAGGTCAGCATCAGAACAGAATTTGGAGAAACAGAGTGGTTTCCAATAGGCAAAGAGGTCAGGCAAGGCTTCATCCTATCACTCTACTTATTTACCTTATGTGCTGAAAACATCGTAAGAAAAGCAGAATTGGAATCAGAAAAAGGAGTTACGATAGGAGGAAGTAACACTAACAACTTAAGATATGCGGATGACACCATAATATTAGCAGAAGACGTCCAGGAACAGTTAATATGAAAGGTCAAAGATGATATTGCAAAGCCAGGTCTGATGTTGAACATAAAGAAAACAAAAATAATGACCACAGAAGAAATACACAGATTCAATCTAGACAACGAGGAAATTGAAATAATTGAAAAATTCCCATATCTAGGATCCAAGATTGACCAGAATGGAGACTGCAGTCAAGAAATAAGAGGAAGACTAGGAATGGGAATGGCAACTATGAAAGAACAGGAAAAGATACTGAAGACCAAAGACATACAACTGAACATTAAAGTCAGAATAGTCCAGGCCATTGTATTCCCAGTTACCATGTACAGATGCAAGAGCTGGA